ATATGACTTATGTTATTCGAAAGCTCCAGGTGCAACAAAAATTGGTATCTGCTCTCACCGGAGTGTCACAGTAAAAACGTATTGCTCTTCTCGCCTTCTCCACATACAGCCGTCATCCGATGTTTTGTTTCATATCTTCAGAGATTTCTCGTTTTACTGATATTTATGCTTACCGCTATCCCAAGAAACCGTACTGCTCCTTTCTGAACCCCATCCGCACATCGTTAATTACATAGAACACTGGCGCTCTTCGGCGGATTTTAGAGTTTGCAATTTCTCGCGCGAATCGCGCGATGAATCACGCACTCTGACAACAGCCAACAAGGGAAGGATGGTAGGTCGAAGTGGCCATTTGAAATGAGATGCATATCATGAGAGATCTTTGAACGCGGACCTCAAATCTGCATTCCATATCTGCTGAACGATTCTCTGAACAAAGCTACAGAGCTTGTTGTGATACGGAGCAGACCCAAGTTCAGCAGGAGACGATACGCATGCACAGCTTGGATGAGCGATGGCCAAGTGGATACTGTGCCGTTCTCGTTCGGCAAGGTCAAGGGTTTGCATCCTTGATGGTGTAGGGCTTTTTGCACGTTTTCAGAAGTATGCTAAGTGCGTTTGCGAACCACTTTTGCACGTTTAGAAACCTTATCTTAGGCGAAAACTGCTGTTCGCAAAGAAATTGGACCGTTCAAATAACTCAGTCGTGACTCTTCTGATAGCTCCTTTCTTCTACACACCAAACAAGTTCAACCTCAAATTTGCTGGAAATCTGTAAGAGGGTTAGAATGGTATGCTGAGGAAGAGTCTCATAATAATTTGGCATGAAAACCTCGCATTCTTCCTCTCAAGAGTAAATATTGCATGGGTGAGTGGCCTTAAAGGGACTCAAGAACTAGCTCCATACGCACTCATTAGGCGTTTTCGCGTCAAACTAGTGCGATATTCGTGTTCAGGAGCTCTAACTACATATGGGAACAAATTGCCAGGGGAATCGGGATTCTCACCTATACTTCGAAAAACAGCTGGAGCGTGGTAGCCTTGGACAGGGGTCGATGTGAGGAAGAGGTCTGGCGTCGCAGAACCCAAAAATAAAGCTCAATTTTATGATAGGGGCCTTCCATTGTCCCCATACATGAAGTTTCAGCGATCAGAATCTTCTCACCTACAAATGTTGTAGCCGTGGGTGATCTCGAAGGCACCAACTACTAGGCGGGCTGTACAACCCATGGTTACCCCCGCTTTTCCGATGTAGGAGTCAAATTTTCGATTTGGCTAAAAATTTGCACAAGTAGTTTGACTTCGGGGAGACGACCCTCTTGGCGAGAACACGCTTCGTTCGTGCGTTGCGTACGCTAGAGTGCCGCATTGCCAAAGTCAAACTATTCAAAGGAAAATTTCCGAAAAAAGAGCAATCTACCCCCCCCCATACCATGCTATGAAAGAAGCAAAAATAACTGTGCGAGCGGATCCCATTTCCTGACGTCGATCCTGCAAATCCGCCTCTTTAACCGTTAGGCCTTCACACTTCTGGCGAGGAAAAACCCTTCGTGATTTTCTTCACAGCATCTTTAGCAGATTTAGAAAACAGATTTGGAATCAGCGTCTGTAGATGCATCAGAG